AAGGGATGACTGTACTGTACTGTATATATGAATCCAAGATGCTAATAATTATTCATAAATCATGCACAACATGACCTTCATGTCCATAAAAGCAATTCTACTGTGGGAAAATCCTGTTAATAGTTTTAACTGGCAAGGATTTGAACCATTTGTTAAAAATTTAAAAGTATAATGCCGTATTAAAATTTTAACAATAGTATACCTAATGCTAGAAGGAGTTTATAGTGTAATCTAAGAAATAATCTACTCTTAAAACTAACCCATAGAGTAATGACAAATCTTCTCAAAGCAGTATATTTCTGCATGACAATTTAAAGTTTGCAAAAGCTTGATAGTGTCCAAGGAACTGATTTTCCTAAATATAAATGTGTCAGCTTACTGCTCCACTATCTATTAGCAAAAAAATAAATGTATTGCAACATTTTTTTTGCCAAATAATGAGGACAACAATGGCCTCACTATTCCTAGTGCCACTGGTGTAGATGTGATGATAATGAATGGTGCTTCCTTCTTTGGCATCTAGTTATTTATCTACTTTCTTGAGAACAGTATTATAATTGGCACAGTGCAGTATATTAATCCTTAACAACATGAGTGATGTGGATGTTTGATTAAGAATGAAAATGTAAACATTGCTTTAATACAATTTCATTATATTTTTTTTTTGTGATATACTGTACATCCGAATTTTCACAGTACAGTACGATATTCCTATAACAATGCACAATCATATGGATACTGTACTTTTAAATACATGGATATCAAAAACAAAATGCCTACTTTTAGTGCTTTTGCATTGTTGTTAGTTACTGAAAATTCCAAAATACTTTTAAAAAATATGGCTAGATTTCAACTGCCACATTCAAGACAACAAACTCATTTACAGAGCAGAGGATAATTTTGACTATCAGATGGTGCCTCTCTGATAAAATTACCTAAAAACCAAGAAGAAAGTACAGTACTGTGCTTTTTTCATGCTAAGCCAATACAGATACTGAATTCTGTTTGATGAGAGCAAGGCATTACCAGAAGTCCATTACGAAAGACAAATACTGTAAACAGTAATTTTCCACTTTACCTCCACAGCTCCTAGAATGCCTTCACTATCCTATGTGTGCATGTGGGAAAATAATAAATTGGTAGTTATCCATACAACTCCTGATGGTTATATATCCTGTGAAGCACTTGAACAGCAATAAAAGAACACACAAATAATCTACATTCTTCATCAATATTATTCTGGCAAATTTAACCAAGTTTGGGGGGCTAAATAGCACTTACATTATACAGGTACTATATATTATTACAACTTGTAGTGTTACTTCTCCACCAGCTCCCTGACCTGATCTTTAAAGTATCTATCCATTTCATTTTAACTCCTTGGTCCTCAAACACTAACTGCCACTGTCTAAAATACTATAAGGTTTTGAGAAATAGTTATAGACTCCACATCACATCAAAGCATCTATACATAAAATCCAAATTTTTCCACAAAAAGCAGAGAACTAAAACAATATAAACTAAACAATATTAAATTCAGAATGTATACCATATTCTAGTTAATGAATCACTGTAAGATAACAGTAATTTACTGACTTCTCTAATGTTCTAATTCACCAATTTCTGGATTGATCACATTCAAAGCGACATTCTATTCATTTATGTTTTACGGTCATTTTCCACACTTGTGTGGGTTAGCTGTAATTACCTGATGGCAGGTGTTGGATGTACCCCCATCCCACTCACCATCACAGACCCAGGGTGCTATCCCAGAAAATACAGCAGAAACTAAGGGATGGACACAGCTCTTGTGACTATTGTATGTTGCCATCAGAAATGTTGAAGCAAAGTTTTATGTCTGGATGCTGTATCTAATGCCAACACACAAGTAGGAACAGCTGGTAATCAAAGACTACCTGCCTACATACACAAGAATTCCAAGTAGTAATATTATTGATACTTCCCAACAAATAAACACTAGAATAGATGATGAACCACAGAAAAATACAAAAGGTTGGATGTTGACTGGACATACAAGGCTGAAAGTTACTACATTATAATAACTAATGACTGTGTAAATGAGGAGAATATTTAATCCACTTAGCCACTGTGCCCCATCCTATCATTCTACAAGTGACATTTTCCAAAAATCTGAAAAGAATCTAATCAAAGTTCATTAAAGGTAAAACACTGAAACCAGAGATAAAACAAACCTGAGCAGTGAGGGTAGTGTATGGGTTGTCAAGACCACCTGGGATCTGGTACTGCTGGGCCATGTGCTGAACCTCTGTCACCAGAGAAATGATGGCCTGGTACTCCTTATCTGCCTCACCTAAGGTTGCCTTGAACTGGTTATGGGCGTCAATCAAGCCCTGGATCTCCTCAATGGTATGCACGATGAACATGTCCACCAGATCTTCACAAGCTCCATCCAACCAGTTGTTGAATGGCTGCAACATAAAGACTGTATCACACACCTCAAATTTTTTTATAATTTCACTGGGTTAATTAAAAGAAATAAGAAATTCCTATAGACAATACTCCATCTGCTTATTACAACTAATCACTATGAAAAGAAAAATATAATCAGTACATACTGCTGCCCTCTTGGCAAATTCAAGGTGAAGTTGATCAATCTTCTCTAAGAGTTTTTCTGTTTCTTCCAGAGCATTCCTGCGAGAAGTGGTGAGAGTGCCAAGACGATCCCACTGATCACAAATGGCCTGGCAGCGAGCGTTGATGGTGGCCGAGTCGTAGTAGTCCAGAGCATTCAGTTCCTGTGCAATGGCTGCAATCTGCTCCACACGATCCTGAGGATATCAAAGATACAAATTACCATAGTGAAATTAATTGAAAATAAAGGATACTGTACCTGCTCTATAGATATAATGTGGATAGAAATGGGAGTATTTTTGAAGGCCAAATACTATACTGCACTATATACCTGATACCTTATTATCTGACAACATGAAAGGTAAGACATCTGACCTGATGGGCAGCCAAGTCAGATTCAAAAGCCTCGTGCTTCTTCTTCAAAGCCTTGAGTTCATTAAGCTTGCAATGTCTGAAGTCCTGGCTCTGTAACATGTCTTCCTTGCCAGAAGTCCATGACTCATGGATCTCAGCCTTGTGCTTGAACTTCTTGGCAAGATGCTCAAGACGCTCCAACCTGAGTAATTAGGTCATATTAATCCAAGTAAACAAACAGGCACTCACAATGTTTGCATTACACAATCTGGTAAAACTGTGAAGCTGAGAATAAAGATTATTACAAGAGAAGAACTTGATGAAGCTATAATGAAAATGAAAAATGGTATATCACGTGGTACTGATGATATAGTGTACATGTAAAGCTTAAGGAAGAGATGGGAAGATTCCTGAGGAATGGGGCAAAGTTACAGTTCATTTGTACAAAGGAAATGGAGACACAGGAGACTATGAAATCATGTCACATAACAATGATTTATTAAAGGATTTTGGAGACAAGTGAAAGACAGAGGATAGAACCTATATTAAGTGGAGGAGCAGCATGGGTATAGGAAGAGCATAAGCACTACAAATTTAATATTGCCTTTGAAAATTACTGTATTATTGATAAAACTTGGTAGTTAAAAAATTATATAGCTTTAAAAATCTAAAGAATTATTTTGACTCGGTGCCAAGGTCATTGTTTTGGAGTTGTCATGAAGAAAAATATGAACATCATGATGCAAGTAGATGATATAATGCATTGGAGTGACAGTACAGGAGGAAGTGCAGTAGTAGTATCCATACCTCATCATCTCTGAGAGCAGCCACTCTTCAAAAGATTTCTCACAGCCTTCAAGATTCTTCCAAGCATTGGCAATATCAGTGACACTCTTTCCTTCAGAGGGGAGGTATGCAGGACGGTTGGAAAGGCGAAGTTTGGTCTGCGAAGAGAAATATAATACTCATGTGATTGGTAAACAATGATTTTAAGAGCTAGAAAAAATTTAATTCACTGTCTGCTTATACACAGAAATTTCATAAATTACTCATATACAATAGAACCTCTCTAGCTCACACACCTCTGGCATCAAAAGTTTTGCCAAACACATGAATTCTGCAAACTTATGAATGACTTATAACATGGATATAGTGGACCTTGGGACCATAAACCTAAAATATCAGATAGGTCCAATACTTATGTTCAGACCCAGAGGCCTTATGAAAATTTTTTCACATACATAAAATGGTTTAAGATACAATACAGTACAGATGATATTAAAGAGTCCCACACTAGGCATGTGTGCTATTAAGGTGTTGGAGTACACACTAAGCTGTGTGTTTTTCATCAGACTATTTTTTTTTTTTATTTGACAACTGGGCTGTGGTGCATCAGCAACTGCTTCAGTGTCTTACCAGTAAGTGGCTGGACAAATGGATGTGGGTTTTATGCTGCTGCATCACACTGAATAGTATTTTGATGTTAATGGATTGTTTATGGTAATTTTTAACAGTACTGTAGTTTATATTTGACAATAGCAAATCTCTAAATTTAATCATTTACATGAGTTATGTCTATGTACACTATTGTCTTGAAAAAAATGTCATATGCCTCCACCTTCCAACTCAGGAGATCCTAGTACAGTATAAATGCATTTTTAAATAACAAAGTTATTGAAAATGAGCTTCTTGTACTCGTCACAAAGTGATGGTATATGTATCCCTAATTGGAAAATCATATGACAAGTAAGAGCAAAAAGTACTCAATGTTACTGTTGCAGTACACGTTTACTTGTTTTTTAATTCTTTTATTGAAAAATGCATACTACTTTATCACCTTTGTTGGCATAACTGCTGTAAGTTAATTTGCAAGTGAAGTCAATGCAAACTAAGAAGTTTTGTGAAATAATGATGGGTGAAGTAGAGAGGTTCTGCTGAAGTAAACCAGACCTGGAGAGTGTTGAAGTTGGTCTCCAGCCTGGCTTTCTGTTCTACACGTGGAGGCTTGTGGTTACGACGGTACAGACGGTATTCTTCCAATTTCTTTTGCAGATCAGCCAGAGTGTTGTCCTGCTGGCGGGCCTGGAGCCATGGCAGGGTGCGACGGATCCATTCCAGCAGGTCGGAGGTGAGGCGTTCGTATTCCTCCATGAGGCGCTCGTTCTCCTGGTTAACCTTCAGCACCTTGCAGATGCGGTTGGCTGCCATCTCAGCCTAGCCAAGTAAAATGTTATTGAGAAAAGTTGAGCATATTTATAAAGAAAAGCTTTAAATGTTTGAACTGTAGAGGGTACTTAAAGTAACAAAAGTGAAAATTCTGAAAATAGCAAATATCTAAATCACTGAAGTGAAGATTTTATAAAATCAAACTGTTAAGTTTCAACCCTGTAAGACCATAAATAAACCATTTCCTATGTTTACTACTTAAAAAATCTTATAAAAACAAAATTATTGTAAATCTTTCCACATTTTGTTCAGGAAGATTCAACAATAATTCTTAGAAAGTTTTGGAGAAAAATCCTGAGATATGAAACAAGTCTTGGATGAAAACTTAGATGTATGTATAGTAATGTCTGTGTTGAGAGGTGATGATGCCCTAAATTATTGATAAGGGAAACGAAATGTAAAGAAGGAAAGACCTGTACAGTATAACATTATTAATAAGCCAAGTCTTTTCCAACATTTACAACAGGGAGGAATTTTTAAGTCTTTCCAAGAATTTTTATATAATGGGAAAATAAGTAAGAGAGAAATGTGGAAGATAATTTGACTAACTGATACATCTAACACACAAGAGAGAAGCAGAGTTATTCTTTTTGCAATGTATTAGAATGAAGTGTCGATATGAAAAACAAAAAAATAATTAAGTAAGAAATGACACAGGCTTAAAAACTGTAAGGCACCAGGAGTGTAGTGAATTATGACACTGATGAATTGTAAATATGGGAGGTGGAAGAGTGATGGAATGGATAAAAACAATACATATGCAGAACACATAAGACAGATGAAAGAAGGCTAATGGAATGGGAGAGAACATAGATTCCCAGTACAGTATAATGGAAATGGTAATAAAAATGGATAATGGATAAAAAAATAATTCTTTGGTAAATATGTCTGCTGTTTATCTGGAAAAGTGTATGGTGAGGTCATTATCAAGTGAACTTCAGTAATGTAATAACAAAAATGAGCATTGACAAAGGAGCAGTTTAGGTGTGTAAAAAAAAGTAGTGTGTGTGTATACTATGAGCTTTTGTTGAAGACCATAAGTTAAAAGTTTTGAGAGATGTGGAGAACTTAATTTGACATTTATGGATCTGGAAAAAGCATGATATTGTTGAAAGAATAGACATGGGAAATACTGAAAATGTATAGAGTTACGTGTATATGAAAAAAATTTGAATGCTGTCTAGTTTTTATAGGGAGAGTGAAATGAGTTTAGGTTATCTTGGGAATAGAGACTAGTTCACTAGTGAAAATAGGACTACATCAAACATGAGAAATATAGCCATAGTTGTTCAATATTTTCACAGATGGGGTAAAATGAGAGGCGAGGGCATGAGGCGTGTGCATGTTTGGTGGATATTGATATTGGATGTCAGTGTTGAGGTCAGACAGCTGTGGCTTCCAAATAACAAATCTTTCTTTAGTGGGTATTTAAGAGGAAAATCATAAACATTAGCAAATGAGTTTGGGCGAGTGTATGAGGAGAAACTAATAAAAAATATGAGCTAAAATGATATGTTGCAAATAAGTAGAAACAAGATATCTGGGAGTGGATGTGTCGGTAAATGGAACAAGGAGAGATGTATAACAGTGTTCAGGGAAAGAATTTTTGGTGCATGGAGAAATATAGTATGTAGTTTCATGTGCACCAAAGGAGGCAAAGACACATAAGTGAAGAGGAACTGGATGTCATAGGAAGAAGCAAATTATAAAACAGAAATTAAATACTTGACAGCAATAAATGGGGTAAACAGGATAAGAAATACCGTAGAAATATATTGACAAATACACACACAAAAGAAGAGGACCCTTGTATATGCATTAGATATATAGGAAGAAATTAGCTCATCATATACATTAGCAGTAATGCTATGTAAAACTTTATTATCATGAGAGATGGTTAGTGGAGCACATAACTGATGGTCACTTTCCAAGGAAAAAATAAATTTTTTGCTAAGTTGAGTGTTCTATATACTAGTCATGAGGGAGAGGAAGAACACAAGATTACCAAAGGTGAGGAAAATGATGAAACTCATCACAATAAAACAAGAGACAAAATACAAGAGGAAAACAAAAGCAGTGTACTGTACATATTTTTGTTTATGGATGCATATGGGCAGCTACTCATATATCAAGATAATTAATTGTTAGTTTAGATCAAAAAAAGGTAAATCTGCATAAGGCAAGACATGGCATTAAGGGCATGTTAAAAGCAAAACACTTTACTCTATGATGTATTTACATACACTGTTGGGTATATTTGTGGTGTAAAACAACCTCAGAGTTTAAATAAAAGACACTAAATACTGTATGTGACTGATTTTTCCCCAGCACGAGCAACAGACAGGTTAAAATGATTCCCCTCATTACTCAGCTATGATTCATGGCAATATGCCACATGTTTGGCAAATGTTACTGACCTTTTGTACACCAGTAAATGTGTGGTAATACGAGGATACATATGTCATGACGGCTCGTTCGTCCGGCACACCTTCTGATATGTCTGTAATGTACATAGTTAGTAAGACACACACCTGCACTAGTAGCAGCTCTAATACTCCTCAATTAGTTTGGCAACAAGGCACACGCTTTAAAATCAGGTTAAACAACAGTGACAACATGGAAAATCAAAATGCTAAACTAAGATATATCCGGCATTTCTGCATCCGAGTGGTGATTAAGCGAATTGCTGTGGAGCGGACTTCAATCATGAAAATCATGGTTAAAGGTTACTAATTACTATCAAAGAGCATTGACAAAGGTGAATGATGAAACCTCATGCACAGGCATCAATACAGGCAATGATAGTAGTATTTACTGAACATAACACAAGATCAGTAGGCCAAAAAGATAACAGGCTTAGATTATATACAACAAAAGTGGTTTGTGGAGAGTTGCTCTACCATCATTGCTGAAACTTGTGTGGACATACAATAGTGACTATCTCATGCATGTTATCATAATGTTACTATTTGGGCGTACAGCTCAAAAAAAAATACTATATTACAATGAACATATTATTGTTTAGTTATAAAGAAGATATGTGAACCATAACACAAGCTAGAGGCTATGCAGTCACTGGGGCATATCTCCAGCACTTGACATAACATTCTAAACAGCCAGTCAGCCAGTAATGTTGCTCCAGCCTTTACTTTGGTTGCTTCTGCAGCTGCTGCACTTTGGCTGCTCAATACTGCTGTAACTACTGCAGTGTTAGTTGAAGAAAAACGATCTATGTATAATATCTGAGGCAGATCCAGAATGTAACAAATCACTTTTTTTTTTTAACCAATCATGATTCTTATTTTTAATTACTGAGGAGATGCAATAGAAAATTTTGCATTACACAATCAAAATTAAATTGTACCTAGACGGAGTCTGCCAAGATATTTAAAAATATTTTCAGGTCCAGCATGAAAGTGATATCAACAAATACACAAGAGTGAGCAAACGCCATGTTATACACAAATATCCGTGCAGCCATCATTAAATTTGTTGATAAGCATTTTTATGCTTGAACTTTAAAGTGGACAAAAATGCTGGGGGGCAGGGGTCTAGTATCCTGGGTGAGGGTGGCGCGCCAGTGGGTCCATGCTCATGTGGGACCGTGTGTTTACCTGCTGGGCCCCCTGGAAGGCATGGTAGTAGCAAGACACGTAGGTCATGATGGCGCGCTCATCAGCCTTGGGTGTATTCACCAGATCTGAAAACGCCCCCATTGTATATATTACTACAGCACTACTGCCAAGAGTTACATGGGAGTCAGCAGGACAACTGGAATCCTTCAAAAACTTGCCATGTTAGATGTGACCTGTTATTAAGCAAGGAGAGTTAACTTATTCAATCCCCCGACATCTGAATGGTGAACATCAGTTGCTTGCCCGCACTGTAGCGTTATCTGTGTAAAGGCAATTATGGTTTATTGAATGAAAGAGAATAATGAAGAAAACAGGGAGTACAACTATTTTTATAAGGCTATGAATCAGAAAAAAGAAACTTTTATAATATGCAGAAAATTCCAAGCACCAAGTTACCCACCATCGGGGTCCAACATCCTGGGGATGTCGAGGTGCTTCTCAGCAATGTCGAAGGCAAGGTTAAGGTTATGAAGAGGATCATCCTTGGACAGCTGGGAGTAGTCCAGCAGGTCGGGCCTGTGACGGTGGATGAGGGCACAGAACGCAAGACCATCCTGTGGACAAAGTATAGGTTAGTGCTGGCACCTAAAAGAAAAAATATTCAAAAACAAATGGATACACACTATAGTATTGTCCTATCCCAAAGTTTTATGAATAACCAAGCATTATTGAGAATATGGTATTTCATTACTAATATCAAACAAATTATTCAATAAGAAAATCATTTATTTCTTGTGACAGACCTTGAATGATGTGTGGAAGTTCTGCACGTTGACATTCTTGTATGGTGCGGTCTTACGCTGGCACCAGAGGAGGAGACCTTCCTTGGCGGTCATCTCCTCTACACTGATGTCCTGGATGGCGAACCTCAGAATGATGGTCCAGATCATACCCAATGTCATCTTAAGGTTGCCATCAACAATTTCTGTAAAGTAGATGTCATAATGTAGGCAGCATATATAACAAAATTAACAAGCGATTTCTGTAATTTGGTAAACAAAAAGTAATATTCTAATTACAAGTTATCTGTACAGAACTTATAATAAACAAGAGGGGTAGATGGCTTATAAACTCCCTTCTTATACATCATTAATCACTACTGTACTATCTGACAGTATGATATGTATTCTCAACAAAATTACCAGGTACTTCTTGTTTCCTATCACTTGCTATATAACAATTACTGTATTCATTATAACTCCTTACATCTTTTATATATATATTTTACCTTTATTTTACCAAATATAATTTACTGTTTTACTCTTACAAAATATATAACCTTGGCAAGGGTTCAAAAGGCACATGGGGTTTACTTCATTGTAACATTCGACTGTACTGTACTGTATTGTGTAACTTCACTTTGGTCTAAATTCTTCTACTACACAAATTCTTAATAAACTATACAACACTGAGTTTGCATTAAGTACTCACCTTCAGCACCAATGGATACCAGTTTTACACCCTTACTGGCAATAAAGTCAAGTGCCTTATTCACATTGGCAATCTTGTGGAACCTCATCTTGCCACGGTCAGGTTTGGGAAGGGTCTCGCCGGAGATGACCTGAAATACAACCCTCCAATGAGTAACTGACAACTCTTCTGAAGGAAAATGTAATACTGTATCTGTTTTAACCAAGAACCTTCTACTTTACTCAGAAAATAAAAAGTACAAATAATAGTTTCATAGTTACAATAAACAAGTACAGGTAATCACATAAGTAGTTAGGAATAAAGGTGAAATTTATGCACTGATGGTGAAGCATTTTTATGATAATTAGAAAAGGCGTTGGCATGATTCATGAAAAACAAGGTATTCATGAATAAGCCAAAGATAAACCTGTTGCCTTATAGTGAATAACTTCCACGAAAAGCCTATACAGTACAGTATATCATATAGTAAGTAATCATAGGATACCATTATGGCAAAAGCAATAAAATTATCAACAAGTATTGTACTGCAATATAAGAATGCTTTACTCAATAAAATTTAAAGAGCTAGTGTAAAGTATCTGGTGAAACGTGTGTGTGTGTGTGTGTGTGTGTGTGTGTACAGGACCACAGCTGAAAATCAAAGTAATTTGGCTACCAGAAGTAACTGATGAAGACTATGGTACAGTAAATGGAAATAACAGTTAAGAAGACCTAAAAATTAGACAGTCACACGAGAAAAATATGAACAATACAAAGTGTAAAAATGTTTCGGAGAATAATGAACATTTATGGAAAATTAGTGTTACACAAAGAACAAAGCATTATGGTAGTTTCACATTTCTTGGAGTACCGTACCAAAATTATTACATGAACAAGTACTGTACTATAGTGCACTGTATAGTATTTCAGTTGCACCCTAAAATTTTGGATCGCCATATTATTATTTTCATAAAAATACTTTTGTTGTTTCTGACTAACATTATACCGAATCTGAAAATCAGTATAATATAATATTTTACATGTACTGTATAGTATACTGTACATACATTCAAAACAAAATAAATACTGTATTACATATTGACAACAGGTAAGGCAGTCCTCCCCCCCCACAGACACACACTGATCCTCTCGGCTCTCACTGACCATCACCACAACCTCATCTGCAAATTTGGTGAGGCTTCTGCACCATCCTCGATACCAGCCCCTACTACCAACCGAGATCTCTCGTCCGAGAATTGCTGTTCAACACCACAACTGCATCCAGCTCATATGAGCACGAACTGATTGCTATAAGAACAGGCCAGTCCTAACTATTGTAAAAATTATCAGTAACTTGTAATCAACCAGTGTATTCACCCTCAGCCAATCTTACTTTTTGCACTGTCACTATGTTGAAATGCCCTGTAGTTTGAGCTTCTCCCCACCTAGTTATTATATATCATACTGTATTTGTATCACTTATGTTACTTGTATATTATTTGTAAATTAAGAGACCCATTCCCCAATTATGTAACTGCATATTTTCAGCCTTCGGGCTGCAGAACTTTTTAAATAAACCGTTAATTATTATTATTATTATTACACACACTCTCACCTCCAGCAGCAGCATAAGCTTGAGGCCATTGCGGAATTCTTCTTCGATGCTTTCGATGAGGGTGCCAGCCTTGCGCAGATGAGAGTTGCACCACGCAGTGAAGGTCTGAGGGGAGACAACACACAACAATTAGTACTTTATCTACACTCATTATTAACTTATTCTAATAACCACAATGTACTGCCATACATAAGTTACACTACCAGGTCTAACAATTTTACTTTACTACCTGTACACAAAGCAGTTTATTACCAGGACTGATAATTATACTCCTAACACACTAGTACTTGTATCATACTTCCTCGCGCCGGAAGTCTGGGGAATTCTCAACCCTGGTTTAATTTTCTGTCGCGACTGTCCACCTGCAGGAAATTTGGGAAAAACTAAAATACAAATAAAGAACTTGTCATAAGCTGTGTCGGCAGTGGCTGGTTAGAATGTTCTCTCACCTAGTCAGTTCGGTAAGGCATTCTCTAAGAGGCTCGCAAACTACTTACGCTCTTGACATACACAGGAATGCACATGCAAACGGACACGCACACGAAAACGGGCACACACAGCCACGCACAATATACAGGTAAATGAATAAGGGCGAGGCAGGTGGCAGCATGTCCAGCCCGTTCACCATAATTTAACCACCTTGCTGTATTCACGGACAAACGCAGGGGAGGGGGGGGTCGGTCTCTCTCTCTGATCTCATTCCATTCTTTTATATATCATATTTATCATTGTTTTATTGTCTCCTTTTTTTAGTTTACCTTTCCCTTATTTCCTCACCATCTCCCCCCTCCTGTTGTTACCTTCCCTTTCTTACACATTCCACCATGTTCTCCTCGTACAATACCCTTTCCACTTTATCTTCCCTCTCTTCCCTTTAACTCTCCCTCTCCAATTTTTTCCATCTTTCCTGCCCTTCCCTCCTCCTCCTCCTCTTCTCCTACTTCCATCCCATTTCCTCTACCATTCTCTCCCCACACCACCACCTCCTCACACCCCCCCTTCCTTCAGCACAACACCTACGTAAGACATTAACCAGGGGATGAGATATTTACTCCAGTGACTCACCAGGTGTTAGCGACCAGTGCCAGGGTGCAACTTAACACCCACCCACTACCACCACCACTAGTCGGGATTCTCAAAGGTTCCTAAGAAAATTTTTTACCTCTTTGGCTGTAAACTGTTAGACGATCCACCACTACCACTCACCATCCCCCAAAAGGGTAGCTAAATAAATAAACAGAAAAATCCTACATTATAATTTCCCCCCTAAACAAAGAGCTGTGAGAACGTGTCTAAACTGCCTTACTTAAAACCTTGTACCTTAAAAACTCTACTGCTAGCTCTCACATATAATATTAATTAAAGGTGAAAAAATATATATATTACATACGACTCTCTTGAGAATCCGAACTAAAAGAACTCCAAGATTCTCAAAAACTCGTAGGGTATATTTTTTTTCTCGTAACTATATAGGGATTTAGAAGAACACGTGCATAGTGAGAGAGAATGGATGTAATAGCGTGCTTAAGGGTTCGTGTGATTCCGACCACCGCATAATAGTGAGACAAGGATTTTTAAGAAGATAAACATTATTACCTTCACTACTATTCAAAATTATTTTATTATTATCATTTATTATTATAACTACCTGTATTATTATCACCTGTTACTATTCCTCTTATTTATCATCATTGAATAAACGTACTAAGTGTTCATGTGGGTGGAGGGTTGTGGGTGGGGGACCGTGGAGGGGAGGGAGGGAGAGGGGGTTCAGATACACACTTAACACTCTCGCTAAACCATGAAAGACTTGACCAAGAAAAAACCACGAGAGAACACAGTAAACAGGTAAATACGGACTGGTTTATCCTGCCGTGGGTTTAGGTGTTTGTTTACACTGGGTGTGAACCACTGTAAATCACCACAGCTGGAGGGGGAGGGGGAACTGGGTGAGAGGGGGATGATGCCATTTAAGACTGCAGAGAAAGAGAGAGAACATAAAATGGCCCTGGAAAAAAGTCTTTTGTTGAACGGGCATTTGCCAGAGAGAAACTTTGTAGTCGCCACCACACCTCTCTACAGTGTGGAATTGTGTGTGTGTATGGGGGGAGGAGGCAGGGGAAGGTGTGTGTGTGTATGGGGGGAGGAGAGTGTGAAGGAAGTGTGTGTGTGTGTGTGTGTGTGGGGGTGAGTGTAGGGAAGTGTGTGTGTGTGTGTGTGTGTATGGGGGAGGAGGTAGGAAGTGTGTGGGGATAGTACAGAAGGTATGTGGGAGGGGGGTAGTGTGGATGGGGAGTGGTAGTGGGGAAGAGGGAAGGTGTGTGGGGAGGTAGGAAGGTGGGGGAGGTGAAAGGATGGCATATGCACGGTGGGAGGGGGAGGAGGAAGCAGGGGAGGCAGATGCGTGTGGCACAGGGCCATGTTTGGTGCAGAGTGCCGGGTAACACCACCCCTGCTACCCACGCCTCACCCCACCACCACCTCCTCCTCCCTCAAGACTCTTTCTTCCTCCTTACTTTCATCAATTCTCGAGGTTTTTCTTTCTTTCATTCACACTCCTCCACCTCCTCTTCCACATACTCTCTCATTCACCCTCACATAAATACTCAACTCTCCCTCACTCTCTCTCCCCCTCACTCTCTCTCTCCTTCACTCTCTCTCTCCCTCACTCTCTCCCTCACTCTACTAAAATATCCATTCCCTCGTCTCTCTAGTACTCGTCTTCCTCGAGTCATATTCATCCCTTCCATTCTTCATTTCTCTTTAATTTTCCTTCATTTTCCTCATCATCACCCCCCTCCCTCGTCATTCACTAGTTTCCTCACCCTATACAAAACACAGAGACAGGAATTGGTGCACAGGGAGAGAAAGATTACAAAAAATAATGTACTGTACTTCTCCCTGTAACTGTACTCTCTCTAGACCTTGACTCCTGTACTGTACACTCAACTCACGAGTGTACATATCTACAACGACTTACTGAGTGTTGTACATATACTGAAATGGTTAGGTTAGGTTAGGTGATGTATGTACGTTTAGCTTTATTAACAATGTTTATCGGTGACAACAAACATGGTGCCATCCAACAGGGCCATCGTGCCAACAAAACAGCCTCACCTTCATCAAACTATTCAACCAATCAGCGTTAACCATTGATGCTAGCGTCTGCCAACTGAGATGTTAAGAGCCAATCACAAATGAAGAAGCTGTGTAGTGTGTGTAGTGTGAGTGTGTGCGTGTGCGTGTGTGTGTGTGTGTGTGTGTGTGCGCGCGCGCGTTGGTTGACATCTGAAGAATCCCCATTCATTACTATTAGAAGTAATGACCAGTAACATACAGTAACCTAACCCACCAACACGACGTAATCATAATAAGTGTCTCGTTAATAGTGTCTCGTTAATAGTGCCTCGTTAATAGTGTCTCGTTAATGGTGATACTGTATTACAAACTTTTACAATATCTTTAATCCTCCCAGAGAAACACATATTAGGGGGACGTTCCTTGTATGGGACTTGGTAAATATGACATTGATCCGTCCGTATTGATATAACGCCAGCAACGAGAGGCAAGGAGAGGCGAGAGAGCGAGAGAGAGCGAGAGAGAAACGAGAGAGAGAGAGCTTGAGAGAGAGAGCGAGAGAGAGAGCGAGAGAGAGCGAGAGAGAGAGAGAGAGACCCCAGGACATAAACAAGACAGCAAGGGTCGTTAAGATAAAGAACTCGAACCAAGGGAGAGGGGAGGAAGAGGGGGAGAGGAAGGAGAGGAAAAAAATGCTTAAAAAATGTCTAAGAAGGAGGCCAGGTAGGAAAGTGCCAAGACAGAGGGAAGGGGAAAGTTGCTGGAAAGTGCCATGATGGAGGGAAGGAATTCAATGTTGGAAAGTGCCAGCGTTGAGGAGAAAGACTCAAAAGAAAGTGCCATAATAGTGCCATAGAGTGCCACCAACAAGCTACCCAGAGATAGTACTGATAAACTGGACCACTCAGGGGCCCACCGCGATACTGTCACACGCTGGATAACACCTCCACGATACTGACCAATTTATTTACAAACACAGAGACAAAGGCGGGAGGGGAGAGAAGGAGGGGGAAGGGGAGAGGGAGGGGGAAGGGGGGAGGGAGGGGGAAGGGGGAGGAAAAACACACCTGTACTACACCTTACCCTACCGTGTGTGTGTGTGTGTAGTGTGTGTTATGCAAGGGGGTGTATACAAGAGCCACCAACCAACCTCACCACAACTCGTCTCGTATACCCAACACCACCACTATCACCACACACCACTATCACCATCAACAAGACGTCAACCACAACACCACACAATCGTCTCAAGTATCAACCTCATCCACACCACCACACTCAACCACAAACTCACCACCACACGACCACTACAGATTTGCACCTTTTAACCACCGCTCGGAGGATCGGATAACCATGGTCAATAAGAAGCAGCACAAACTTAATAATGGAGGAGGTGAGTAGCAACAGAGAGTAAAAGAAGGAGAACACCGAGGAGGAAGAAGAAGAAGAAATAGCTACAGTAAAACCAAGAGACAGATCAGACCGTAAGTGTTGACATCTCACGTTGTTGACTTTTTTTTTTTATCAAACTTAACAGCAAAGTATAAAACATAGCAAGGACAGAGAGACCTTTGGGCAGAACGTGATGATGTTTAAAGGGTTCTGTTGGCTGGCTAGTGAGGTGAGGTTAGGTGAGGTGAGAGGAAGGAGAGGAGGCAGATAAGGTATTTGTGAGATTTCCAACATGACGCTCACAACCCCTTACACCTGAGAGGGGGAGTCAGGGAATCAGGTGGGGTAAAGAGAAGTCAGGTGGGGTAAGGAGAGTCAGGTGGGGTAGGGAGAGTCAGGTGGGGAGTGGGGGGAGTCAGGTGGGAGTAAGGAGTCAGGGGTAAGGGGGGGAGTCAGGGGTAAGGGGGAGTCAGGGAGAGTCAGGGGGGGAGTAGGGAGGGGAAGGCGGGACACTTGCGGCCTCCTGTAAACAATCTGGCTCCTCTCCTTCATTACACAAACCTCGCCACGCACTTCAACAAACACTGTGGTATTCAACTTGCTCGAGGTCTCTCTGATAATAAACAGTAACCACA